TAATATATAAATATATTAATTAGATATAAATATATAACTAAATATTATTTCTAAACTACACTATTGTTATTATATATCTTCTCCATCATTTCTTACTAGCCGCAACTCAGAACTATTAGTCTCATTTATCCAGACTACCAATCCAGATGGCCCAGTATGATATACTTCTGTATCCTTTTCCTTTGGCGAACCTGGCAGCCTGGTTGGTTATATGCTTCTCTACACATATTTGTCATTCAGTTTTAATCTTTGGTTCCTATGAATGTGTTTCATAGACTTCAACTAGTCCAATGGTACCTTCAAAAGTTCATGCTACCTCTTTACTTGAAAATTTCCAAGTGGGTTTCCATCACCTTGGTTCTTTAGTCTTCTACACCTGGTGGACTTATTGTGGGTTTGTACTGAAGTCTTATGCAACACTGGTAACATTCCTCTATGTATGTGTAATATTACACTTCGCTTGAGCTTCTAAAGCTGGGGAGATCTGGCCTGGTGTACCTGCGTAACAGTCACATGAGGCCAACTGATTGACAGAAGACAGTTATCATAACACAGATATAATTTCCAAATTTCATCATAGGTGGGATTTGAACTTTAGACCTGCCACTTGGAGAATGACAATCCAACCACTACACTAGGATCACCATTCTATGCTCTCCTTTTTAGATCTGGCTTATTCAATAAATATTTAGAAACAATATTTTGAATTTGAACATTTATGTTACATTGGCAGCACCATAATTATAACAAAGCACTACTTGCATTTTTGTCTGATTTCTTTTATTGGCAAGATATCAGTCATCCTTTCACAGAAGCAATCAAACTTTTTTTAGTAAATTTTAATGAGTATTATATAAAAAATCTATATAGTAAAATTTATGCACAAACTTTTCAGAATTCGTTAGTAGAAAAAATTATAAGACAAGCTTATATAATTAGTATGCAGTTTTTATATATAAATTATTAAATATTAATGTTTTTTTTTTTTTTTTTTTTTTTTAGATAAGTAAAATGAAGATAAATTATGAAATGCCTTTCTTAAAATAAGATGATATTCTTATACACTATCAACCTTGAATTTTTTAATAGAGAAAACAGTGCTTTTTCTTTTTGATTATTTACAAAAAATTTATAACAATCATGAAAAAAGCAAACTTAAAAATAACAAACCATTGCAATTTCATTTAGTCATGATAAATGAAATTGTGAATACTAAATGTCTTCCCACAGATATGTTTATATTATGTATAAAAATTGCATTTTTATATTTTATATAACATTTAATTAGATTTTATATACTATCTTTTAGGTTATAGTTTAAGTTTTTCTTTCAAAGCCAATTTCTGTGATTATTGCCATAGTGTTTTAGATAATGGTGAAGTGTTAGTTTGTGGTTATAGTTACCATAAAGGTTGTTACATAGCTATGGAATATTGCTGTCATCATTGTAAGAAGTACTATAAGAAGGGTATTTACCATAATGCTGATAGCTTTATAAAATGATTGGAAAAAGGACCCAATACACTCACCAAAGAAGAAGTGCAGGAAAGGCAAGAAACTTCAAAAGAACCAGTTCAAGATGACAATAACAAGGTGGAAGAAGTAGCAGTGAAGAAAAATGATACCTTCCTATTGGTATTTAATAATGTTAGTAGTTGGTAAAAGTAAAATATTAGCTACTATAAAAATTTTGTAAAATACTCAATCCCACTTGATCCCAAAGTTTAAATTAAAATAAAACATATCTTGTAACAAGTCAGTTTAAACTACAACAGTAATTCTAAAGTATATTACAATGCTATCATATGTGTAAAGTTAGCACAAAACTCATGTTTTTCGAATTTGCTATAATTTTATTGGTAATTCAAATTGATTAAAGGAAATCAAGTAACCAATCAAATAGAACCTCTGTTATGCTGCCTAAAAAACACAAAATATATAAAAAAAAACTAAAAAAAAGAAATAAAAAAAAGAGGAACTAACTAAAAAACCTAAAATATACTAAAAAAAAAAAAAATAAGAAAAAGAAAAAGACAAAAAGAAGAGAATGGAAAAGAAAAAAAAAAAACATGAAGACACTATTTTTGTCCATCTAGTGTTAAAAAAATTATATATAATACTAAATAAAGAGTACTTTATATTTGTTTTATTTTCATATTATAATGTATTTCATTTATTGTATAGAGAAGAAGATCAAAGTTTTTGTTTTCCTCTTGAGATTGACATATGTTATTTATTGTAGATAATATATATAATATTGTAACTATCTTATGATTATTGTTACTAATTTAAAAAGATAAACTGTATTAATTCTTTTGAGAGAGTACACCAAATTTATTATTTTTTAGTAAAAATTTCAAGAAAAAATCTAATAGTAAAAACAGTAAAAATAACTAATTTGTGAAAGAGTTATAAGAGTTGTGCTATGTAGAGTATTATATTAAATTAAGTAATTATTTAGGCCTAAGCTCTTATAGTACTTAACAAAGCTTTAGAGCTTATTTACTACTTCTTTACTTGGTAGTATTTGAGTTTTATACCAGGAAATTTTGCTTACAAGTGTATGAGTTTTTTTCAGCTCTTTTTAGTTACAAACAACATATAGTAAATAGTCTCTAATTCCAGTTACTTCAAAGTAGAGTTTTGTTATATGTAAAATAATAACCAAATAGTTTTCATAGATCAAGTTTTAAGGAAAAAGATGATGTGAAAAATTATTAAAAAAAGTTGAATATTTATTTTACTTTATATAAAATTAATTTATGACTCAACTATTGAATACTTTATAGTTATTCTACAAACAACATTTTATACTATCAAATTTAGATGAGTTTTAACCACTCTAGTATGTTTAGGTTGCAGATAAATTAGATAAATAACAGTTAATTTCTTTTTATAGTCTGAGCTTTACTCTTGTAACAAATTTGTAATTAGAATAGATTTTGTAATTTATATCCAGAGAAGCCTCTAGAGACATTTTTAACAAATTAATAAGGATATAAGCAAAACCTAACTTTAACTCTAAAAAAAAAAAAAAAACAGTATTTTAAAATTTTTCTATAATAGACAAACAATTTTATTTATAATATTATAAAATTTTGTTATTAATTAATTAAAAAATAAAAAAGTTTTATTAATAGCATATATCAAATTTAGATAAAATTTTAATTTAACTATATAAAAATGATCTACATGACCCTACTCTTAAAACTAATTCTCTTATTCTCTATCTATTCCTTTGGATCTGAAATACTGTTTTTGATCATAAATGTAACTTATTGCACTTATTGCACTTATTGCACTTATTGCATTTTGTGCATTTTTCACATGATCAGCCATGATATTTTGGTATTACAATAGTTTATAAGTAATATTTAAAATATAAATTAGTTAATTTTTTGATAAATTTTATTATTTGTATATTATTTTACCAATATAGATTATTAGAACCATCAACTAAATTGACAATTTTAATTATCTATTTTGGTAAAATGATGTGCAGTAAAAATCAACAAAAAATTAACTAACTTCATGTTATAATGTTTTTAAATATTACTTATAAACTATTTTTAAAGTTTTATAAGAAAACCTTCTAATACTAAAAAATTTACAAATTCAAACTCAAGAATTAAACTAACATTTCTTTTTGTTAAATAAGTTAAAAAAGTAAAATTCATCTAAATTTTTATATGAAATTTATGTGTGTCAATTATTTGACTTATAATTAAAAATTTTATATATGACAAATTATGCAATTGATATATAAAACTACATTAGCAAAATACTATCTAAAATTATGTTAGCAAAACTGCTTCTGTCATATTTAAAGCTACATCAACAAGAAACTGCCTTAAAAAATTCATAATACAAAATATTACAGAATCTAAAATAGGCTGTGTTAATACCCCAACCAATTCATTTTGTCTCAACTCAAAATAGAATTTTCCTAATATATATTATACTCATTTCGAACTCCCTTCGAGCAACTCAAGTGCCTAGTTATATTTTTAAGACATTATTAATATATAAGCAATCGAATAAGTATAAAACTTTATAAAAACGTGAATATAAAAGTAAAATTAAGTCACACAAATTTAATATCTTGGTTTTCATAACATGAAACTTTTGAACAGACCCGGCCGGCCGACTTTTTTTTAAAAATATAAAAAAAATTCTTTACAAGCTTTCAAATTTGACCCGGCCAGATTATTAAAACCATTTATTAATTTTGTATGGCCTTAGGTTATAATGAAAATTACTCTTTTTAACTTATAAATAATAATAAATATAGTAATACGAAATAACAAAAGTAATAAAGTTTTAATCAATTAAGATAATCCTAAGTTTGTATTTTATATTATCTTCTAAATTTTAGATTGCCAATTCTCATATAGTTAGAATTTGAAAATCTAGAAAAAAATTATAATTTAAATTATTTGACATATACCATTCGAGCTTCTAAAATTCATTTTTATTCTACCGAAACAAGGTATTTCTACATCGCAATGAAATTCTGTTTCTCTGACAACTTTCGCTTCTAATTTTTCTATTTTTGCTTTTAACTTATTGACCTCCTCAGAAGAAATACTTAATCTTTGTATAGCTTCTTCTATATCGTGTTTTGTTTTTAGATAGTTACGAATCTTTAGATAAAACTGGTCCCAAGTTTTCAAATATGGTTTATAATTTACTTGAAAATTATCTAAATGCGTAAGTAATTTATTTCTCGAAACTTCTCTGTCATCTTTGTTCACAAGTAATCGTTCCTCATAATCAACATCAATAGGAGGATTATTAACATGAATAATTCCATTGCATGATTTTATGATTTCAGCAAGAAATTTATTTTCTCCAACTAATTCTTGACGATCGATTTCACATTTATCAGGACTTCTGAAATTAGTAAAATTTGTTCTTACTATAGTGGTATACATGATGATATCACTTTCGAAAATAACTTCTTTCAATAACTCAAAAGCTTCCATTTCATCTTCAGTGAATCTTCTTCCTACAACAAACAAAATTTGATTTATTCCTTCTTTCATAGTGTAGATAGCTTCAGCTATTCTTATTAAGACTTGTTTTTTAGATAATATAGTATCTCCTATTCCTATTGTATCAACTACTCGATACATTTTTCCATTATGTTCAAACATTTCAGTTTGGAAATATTTAGTCTTACTAACTGATTTTTCACTTTCTTCAAACCTGTTGGTATCACTCAATACATTCGCAAGTGCTGATTTACCATTACCAGTGCGCCCCACTATTAACAAGTTTTTAATTTTCACAGATTGTTCTTGAAATTCTTCTAATTCATCATTTTTTACAAATTTTTTATGTGGTACTTTTTTCAATTTATCTTTCTTATACTTTATAACATCTCCCTCAAAAGGCTCAAGTTTCCTTTTAATCTTTGCTACCTTGGCTTCAGGTCGATAAACTTCGCAAAAAAAATCTTTTAAACTATCTGGTAAGTGACATAAACCTTTACTAATATCAGTACCACAAATGTCCAAGGCCTTTAATTTAGTCAGATGCTTTAGAGATCTTAGATGACCATAAAAACGATTATAAAAACCTTGTTCTATTTTGTCTCTGTCATCAGTTCCTATAAGTAAAGTTTCTAAATTGATAAACCTGCTAAAGTGGTTTAAATCAATTTTAGCGAAATTATTATTCATTACGTTTAAATAGGTTAATTTTTCAGGATTAACTAAATCTCTGGGATAATTTAGTAATCTAGTAAGACTGTTATGGTCAATAACTAATTTTCTTAATTCATAACAATCACTTATATCTAAATTTGTTAAATTATGGCGAGACAAATTCAATTCTACAAGATTATTAAAATCATCTAATAGTAACTTTCCACTTAATTCCTTAGTATCATCATTCTTTATTAATTTAACTTCTTTTCGAATTTCTTTTTGATAAGTTTGATCCAACCATTCTTGCGCGTTCATCATATTATTTAAATTATTATTTACCAAAAAAAAAGATTTTTTTTTGCTAGGAAAAATCACGCCTATCAGTTAATTACTTGATAAACCAAAACTTTTAACAAATTAGGTTATTTATTTATTGTTCTAATATTTTAACAACTTTCCGATAAGCAACCTGTGCTTTTATCTTCAAATAAATAATTATGCATAAATATTAGGGATTGTCCAACAAACTAACTGCGAAATATTGCATATATTATAGTTAATAAGACCTTTTATATAACCATATAAATAGTTTTTTGGCGAATATTTGTGTGTCTGAAAGGGAAATTCAATATGATTTATTGTTACAGGCTGAGAATTCACACCATATTTAGAGCCGGAAATCAAATTACCAAATTCAAGAAGAGGTTGTAATGATTCTGGTTTCACTCCAATTGTGAACAAAGTTAGATGAAAGTAGATAATCTGATAGTAAATATATAAGAAAAGTAACCTTATATCATTTAATTTAATAAATTAAAAGTTAGAAACGATACCATATTTGAGTAACCAATAATAACTCACTAATGAAACCACAAAATAACAAAAAAGGAGAAATAAATAAAGGCTCAGAATTCGAATGTACAACAGCAAGGGCGTTTAAAACAATAAAAAAAGCAATATCAAACACACGATTTGTCACATGTAAAATTTTTAATAGTAGGTCAAATGATTGACGCATCCAAATTTTATAAGTAAAATTTGTACAAAATTTGC